ATTTGACTCCTGATCAACTTCAGAAAATTTTTATGTACGGAATAAAAATTGGAGGTTGTAAGCGAGGCGGAAGGTATATAAAATTTTTTTGACGTAAGTATATTTACATCCTCCAAGCTCAGCGATTCTGCGCACCTCTTAGCCATATTTCAGACATCATATATTTTCCCGTATATTTGCGTTTAAATCTTGGAATTATAGAGAAATATTTTTTATCCTCGTTTCCTTGTGATATCTAAACTCACCGCTCGACGTACCAGTCTGTTCTGCCCTCACTGCAAATGTTGCCGCAGTGGGGCTGCCACGCATATATGAAAAGGGGCAACGTTGCCAGATGGACGGTAACTACCGATAGAGCAGGGAAAAAGTATCTGTGGACTAATTGTATGGGCATGTTTGACTGGCTTGACCCCGTAAATTCCTATGCTGTACGTGTTCGTAACTGTTTTCTCAGATACCTTGAAGTACGCTGAACTTAATCCTTTATGAACTGATGACGACATTGCGTACGAAGGTGCAGAGTCAACCTACTTAATGCCATTTTTTGGTGGACTATGAAGAAGATGAATTTTTAGTACCTTCTATTCATTCGCCTATATTGGCTATACATATACACGTTGGGAAGTATGAAAACTGCAGATTTATGCCAAAACAAAGGTAATTTCCAGTTTATATCTGTGAGCTACTCATTCGGTTTATTTTTATAGCTACAAATTCTGAAATTGTTTAAGGACAAACAAGCGGAAACTTTTTTCGTCTCAAAGTCCCTTGATCATACCTACAAAGAAACAAATGTGAGGTTAAATATAAATACCCAATTAAGAGCCGCCGTTGAGATAATTGAGTTGGATATAACCTATATTAATTAAGTCTCTTAATGCCTACCGTCGATACACGGGGTTTCAGGAATCATCCAAGTTATTCAAGTGAAATTAAAAATGTATTAGCAGAAATTAACCTGAACGCCTTGTACTCCTCTCTTAGTAAGGAAGCCGTAAAATGCATAAATTGGCATACTCTGTAAGATTTACTAGTAACGGCGAATTTATGAGGGAGCTAGGGCAACCTCCCCCTCCCCCAAACATCAAAGTCTGACATGTTCTTCAAGAAAAAGGTATACATTTCTGTATCTTGGTCTAAAGGTACCTTGTTAGATATGAATTGTGAGACGTAGGCACATACGCTATTATTTATTTTGATCCTTTTTAGGCGATTTTTCTATGTTTTGGCACAGGTAAACATGTTTTCTTCTCAAGCTGATATGCCTGCATTTATAAACCTAGTTGCAACAGTATTTGTAAGTCTACTCAGAGTCCCATTTGTTAGCCATTTTCACCGCAAATCGTAAATACGGAGCAGAGCAACGTTTGTAAATGGCGCGGCAGGTAGCGATGAAGCTGGTGTCATGCGACGTCATCACTTAGTCTCACACTCCAACAAGATAATTCTCCAAATAAGAATCTTACGGGTAGCTAAGATATTCGAAAAAAAATCCGTTCTCTACTTGACTTTATCTACACCATTGATTCCCAAAGTGGTCTATATCGACCCCTAGGGGTCTATGACAATCTGCAAGGGGTCTACGTCAGCGAAAAAAAATTCGGGGGTCCATGAAATGAATATGGGGGTCCACGATAGTGGATCTCGACACATACACTGATAGTACCTATTTACTTACATCATACTATCTTATAATATCAAAACATATACATTATTTATAAAAGTACCTATGAAGTAAAAAGTAAAAATTATATATGTTTATAAAATTGTGTAAGTTGTAGGATGTTGGTATTCGCTTTGTGGTCGCAATACATTTTGATCTTTTAAAAACCTGAGAGTCGCAGTCTCAGAGCTCCGCTACCTTGCACTGACTTGTTCAATTCGTCACTCTATAAATACGAATGTGGGACAAATACGTTTATTCGTTTCCTGAATCTTGAAAAGGAAAGTGCAAGGAAAATATTTTAAAAAATATAAACAGATAGTATATCACACAAATTATAGTGAGTCAGTGTTATTTTGTTTGAGAGTGCTGGAGAAAATTAAGTACATTATTGTTTATTCAATTTTAGTTTTGTACTCGTAGTTAGCAAAGATAGATAAATTACGCCAAACATGACTTTAGTTATTAGTAGTTAAATATTCAATCATGCAAAATTACACGAGTACTCCTTAATAGTTTCTTTTTGAAAGTTTTAGCAATCGGTAATATAATTACAGTGTAATCTCCGTAATTCGAGCTAATTGTTGCATGATGTTCGAATTATGGAATGTTTTCGGAAAAATCAAAAAATATTTTTTATATACAGCTGCTGGATTTTCTGTCTTATTTAAATAATTTAATTTTGCCCACAGATGACTGATGCCATGTCCCAATCTAAAAAGAAATGTAGACAGTACAGTGTTGATTATTTGAAATTTGGCTTCATTCCATCATTGCTGGACAAACAATCTCCTATGTGCCTTTTATGCAACAAAGTTTTGGGCAATGACGCTATGAAACCATCTAAACTGCAAGATCATCTGAGAAGATGCCACCCTGATAAAACAGAGAAAGATTTGAAATACTTTCAAACACTCAAAGATAAATTTCTGAAGAGACCTACACTGGACAGAATGTTCGCTTCGACGTCACAAAGAAATGATGATGGTTTGCGGGCGTCTTACAATATCTCGTTACTTATAGCAAAATCCGGAAAACCGCATACTATCGGAGAGAAGTTAATTTTGCCAGGCGTTGAAGAGGTTTTAAAAACTGTTTTACACAAACCTGCATCTGATATCATTAAAAGAATTCCCTTAAGCAACAGTACTGTTGAAAGACGTATTGATGAAATAAGTTCTGATATTGAAAGCTTCTTATATAATTATTGCAAACGACCCATTTCTCTATACAGTCAACTTTACCTGATAATGCAGCATTATTATTGGCATATGTTCGTATTATTATGAATCAAGAAATCTACGAAGAACTGCTCTTCGCAAGAACTTTGATAACCGACACTAAAGGTGAATCAATATTTCATGTTTTGAAGGATTACTTCATTGAAAAAGCAATTCCTTTATCAAATATAATATCAGTAGCTACAGATGGAGCACCTGCCATGGTTGGACGTTATCGTGGATTTATAAGCTATTTAAAACAAAATGTGTCAGGGGTGTTAGCAATACATTGCGTCATCCATCGACAACATTTAGTTGCTAAAAATTTGAGTGTTAGATTGCATGAATCACTTCATTTAGTCATTGATGCAGTAAACCGAATCCGAAGCAACGCGTTGAATACGCGGCTATTTACGCAGTTGTGTGAAGAAAATGACACTTTCATCAATTACTCCTTCACACTGAAGTACGCTGGCTGTCGAAAGGCTTATGTTTGACAAGATTTTTTGCGCTTTTTGAGACTATTTTAGAATTTCTGGATACTAAAGATGAAATTTTAAAAGAAAATTTAATGAAGAGGAAAACAGACATCGCCAATTTAACAGATTTGTTTACAAAATTTAATATGGTTAATTTGCAATTACAAGGCGATAGTTTAAATTTGATTAAAACAAACTCCATCTTATCAGCGTTTCTTGCCAGAGTTAAACTAATGAAGCAAAATACTGGACGGGGCGAATTTTCTCAGTTCCCCAATTTGTCACAGACAAGCTGCCAGGAAGACGACGCTTCAACTTACGTTCAACATTTAAATGCCCTCTATTCAGATTTTGAATCTAGGTTTGAGGATATTTTGACTGTGGTAATACCACCGTGGATAATTATTCCATATGGTGACATAGAAGAAACGAATGTCATAAAACAAGAGGAACTGACTAAACTAAGTACAAGCGAAGAACTTAAGGTTCAGTTTAAAAACGGATATCAGCAATTCTGGCTGCAAAACAACATACCCGGTACTTATCCCGTATTATGGAATATAGCGAGGAAATTTTTAATTTCCTTTCCATCGTCATACCTAGTGGAAAGGGGGTTCAGCGCTGTTAATAATCCCCTAACGAAAAAAAGAAACAGACTGGACATCATTAGCCGAGGAGATTTAAGATTAACCCTTACAAAATTGACGCCAAATATTGATAATTTATTATTAAAGCATCAGGTTCATCCTTCTCAATAAAATTATTGACTTACTGCTTATGTTATCTTATTTATAGTTTATTTTATGTTTATTGGTGTCTGACCAATAAATGCCCGCATTGGGAATAAGTGCCCGCATTTATTTTTTTAAAGAACCCCCCTTTATAGAAAATATATTTTTTTTAAAAAAATATTCTGAAAATTCAAGGATAGGTACACACTAAAATTCGTTAATTTTTTGCCTATTTTTAGATAACTTAAACGTATAAGAAGAGATATTTAATCAAACTAACAGTGACATTATTGTAGAACATACGTTTATGTTATAACTAATAAACGAACTCGCTTATTCTACTATTTTAAGTAAAAAACTTTTTTTATTTATCAATTTTTTTTTGTTTTATCCCTCTTATTTTTTTTAAATGCTGGCACTTATTCCCAATGCGGGCACTTATTGGTCAGACACCTGTTTATTTAATGTTACGTATATTTTACATAACAGATACAAAATTTTATTTTGAGTAGTTTTAATTTAAATTCAATTAATAAATGTATAAATTAACATGTATTTTTAACACTAAACTTCACTACAGTTAGAAATTTACAGGAAATCAATATCAGGTTAGTAGGGGGTCTACCCAACACGGAAAAACATGGCAAGGGGTCTACCACACAAAAAAGTTTGGGGAACTCTGATCTACACTGTCACTTCAAAAAATTGGAAACTCCTTCATTGAAAGTCAAAAGTCGTTCAAGGTTAATAGGTCAACTTCTAAATACAGTATTTTAAACACATTCCACTAAAAATATCAACAATCCATTCGGTGGACTCAGGCTCCGAGGTTTAAACCTAATAGCGCTCCACTAATAGCAGAGCGTGTATTGTTTATACATATCATCAATGGTAATGCTGTTTTTTGTTGCAGCCCCATCAACTGTACTCCCCACACACGACAATTTTGAGACAGAGCGGACACTCCTTCGCCATGGCTACAGCATTGTGCTCACTCCTTATTGGAGTTGGCTATGATGCGTTTGTCGTTTCTGGATACGCAATCAACGATGTCACTCTCAGGATTATGTGCAGGTAAGTCATCATCAAGCGCAAATTTGTATAAAATAGTGAGGCACATTCAGGTTGGCCTGAAGGTTACTCTTGCTGGCACATATCCAAAGCTGCGCAATCCAGGTTGCTTATCATTCAGGTGTGACAGTTTTCTATTCAGTAGATGCTTCATTCAAATATGAAAATGTGATAAACTTTTTGAAACAGCTTTTTTGTGCGGAGAAAAAACATGATGGTCCTCATTTATATATTCGGCATCTTCGTTGCATGCTGCGCTCTTTACGTCAATTGGGGCTCCTACCTGGTAAAAAACCTCGGCTGCTGCCGCCTCCTCTTCGCACAACCGCGGAACCGCGTTAGCATTACTTCGTTGCTATGGGTTTCTATCTTATGGCAGTCTTAAGCTAATGTTCTATGATGAGAGAGAAAAGTGCTTCCATTTCGCTCCGTTTTCATTTTAACAGGCTTATATTAGCTTGGCCTGTATGTATGTAATGGAATCTTTGAGTATAATTTCCAACAATTTCCAGAAGTTCGATTAATGTGAAACTTCGCATACGTATCAAGGACCGATGACAATTCAATATCATGACATGTCAACAAAAAAATAATTGATAAATCCAACTACACACAAAAAAAGAGATCTTGGTTGCAGCGCAGAAATTCTCTTAAAAATATGGACTTGATATAAGGTCCAAAAATATTTAGAATGAGGTAATTTCTTTGGTTCAAGGAAAAAGGATTCCTTGGGTTTTTTGTAATGTGCACTAAAAACAAAAAACTACTCTATTTCTAAAAATGTTTACATTTGCATCAAGATCTTCATGTTTTTAGATCAAATCTTGAGTTATTTGAAATAAGTTCATCCACCAACTTAAAAAGTCTAGGCTGGCAACAAGTGGTGGAAATTCTGGATACTAGAAGGCCTGGAGGGGATGCTGGTACATCTCAAGCTGATATTATGTTTGGAACAGTTTTTACTACGGGTATATTATAGACAAGTTTTAAAATTATCACGTTTTGGTTGACATTGAAAAGAAATAGAAAAGAAAGAATAGAAAATAGGTATAAACATCTTTAGATTTTTTTAAACTTGTTCTCAAAATTTATAGAATAAAATATGCCTATGTACAGGGTTTGTCCGGAAAGTAATAGGACTGAGTCGATTTAAAAAATTTATTGAGCCAATCGTTACAATTCATTAAAAACATTTAAAATAGGCTCCTTCTGCGTCGATGCAGCGCTGCCAGCGCGATTTGCAAGCATTGAAGGCGTCACGGAAGGCATTCTCCGAAATAGCCTTGAGAGCCGCGGTGCATGCTGCTTGGATCCCCTCTGTCGTCTCAAAATGCTTGACTATCATTCGGCGTTTTCGGTCGAGGAAACAAAAAAAAGTCCGGGGGGGGGGCACATCTGCGCTGTAGGGCGGCTGCGGAAGCGTTGGGATACCGGCCTTGGTCAGGTAGCTGTTCACAGGAAAGGCGGTGTGAGCCGGGGCGTTGTCGTGGTGCAACTTCCAGTCGGCTGCGATGTCTTGTCGGAAGCGACTAACCCTTCGTTTGAGTCTCCTGAGCACTTCCACGTAAAACTTGGCGTTGACCATTTGTCCAGGAGGAACTAATTCATGGTAGACGATGCCTTTGATGTCAAAAAAGACAATGAGCATCGTTTTCACTTTGGATTTGCTCATTCTTCCCTTTTTTGGGCGAGGAGACGCCGTCGTGTGCCACTCGGAAGATTGCCTCTTTGTCTCGGGATCATACTCAAAGATCCACGACTCGTCACCTGTGATTACGTTATTCAAAAATTGGGTCACTTTCACACATGTTCAAATTTTCTTGGCACACTTCCACTCGCCGCAATTTCTGGTCGTCAGTGAGCACTTTTGGGAACGTCTTCGCGCACACCTTGCGCATGTTCAAATGCTGTGTCACAATGTTATGAACCACAGATTTTGGTAAATTTAACATCTGGGCAATTAAACGAATACTTAGTCGACGGTCTGAGTTTAAAACTTTGCGCACACGAGTCACATTATCGGTGTTTGTCGAAGTCGAATGTCTTCTAGCACGGTCTTCATCAGCGACCTCTTCCCGGCCCTCCAAAAAGGCCTGGCGCCACCGAATCACACCACTTCTTGCTAAAGCAACACCTGGGTAAGCCTGCTTGATCATATGCAGTAACTTACATTTATGAATTTTTATAATTTGGAAATATTGTTTTATAGGTTTCCGGTGACATTAACACTATTGTAACTTAAAAAGTAAGCGATGCTGCAGAAAGAAAAGCACCAGTTCAGCCTTATTTAATTGTGGTAGGACCAGATATACCGAACAAAGAAACCAATTATAATATTATTGACGATAACATATGTATATATACATATACATCAATATGTTGAATATGTTGAAAGAAGACTATTGTGACTCTTGCAACATGTGGTCGGGCATTATCTTGTTGGAAAGTTGGATCTGCCAATGTGTCAAGATAGGGTAAAAGATGGGGTTCTAGAACTTCGTGGATATAACGTTGCGCGTTCATGTTACCTCTGATGAAGATTAAAGGTGACCTGGAACCATAAGCTATAGCACCCCAAACCAACAGTGTGATGAACATGTCTTTCAACAAAAGACTGTGGATTCCTCCTTTCACCACGTCGCTTTCTAACCCTGGCACGACCATCGTGCATGCCTAAACAAAATTGAGACTCGTCACTAAAGACAATACTGCTCCATTCCTAATCGCAGAGTGACCGTTGTCTGCACCACTCAAGGCGATTACGTCGGTGTTCTCGGGTTAAAGGGAGGACCCAGTGTGGCCGGTATGAAAACAAGCCAAAACTTCTCATTCGTCGGTAAACACTTCGCACGCCAATAGGTCTTCCGTGTTCTGCAAACCAATCATTTGCAATGGACCTGGTAGTGGAGAAACGGTCCCTTAAGGCCAATAATCTTAGGCGGCGTTCTTCACGGTCTGTTGTTCTACGGCGGCGTCCAGTGCCCCTTGCTCTTTGCGTACGGCCTTCTCGAAGCCATGCCCGACAACACCTAACCACAGTGCAATTGCCCGAAAAGAAAGTCCATCTTCCCGAAGTCCCACTATACGGCCCCTATCAAACTCACTAAGTTGACGAAATCTTACAGGTCTCCGTACTCTAGGCATCGTAACCGATCGTAAAGGATGTCAAGAACCAAAATCCGCCAACGTTGATTCTTTACTGCGGCTGAAATATTCATTTTTAGAGCGTTAGTGAATTAAAAAAAAGCAGTTTAAAAACCGGAATGTCCAACTGATAAGGCTGAAAATTTTTTCACTTGTTATTTACAGTAAGATAAATACATTCACCAACTTTTATTAAAATAAAACCATTTAAGCTGGGTGTTCGGATTTATATGTCACTTAGTATATGTTAAATACACAAAATCATCATGTTCACTTTCTTCCAACTCGCCACTCCGTCAATTGTCAAACTGATATTCTAAAAAACTTGGCGTAAAAAGTCATCGAATATTCTGTTTTAAGTGTCTTATTAATAACTTTATGATCCATGATACATTTTATTAAAGCAGAACCAGAAAGAGATTGACTAGACCTGCTCAGCTAACTCAAACATTATTTTTTCTATACTCTTACTATAATTACATTGGAGAAATAACTATTTTTGTCTACCGCACATAAAGTTGCTGAAATTGAACTTTGAAAAGTTTTTGCAGTTCTGTACATGATGCTCAAAACGTCCATGTATTATATATTCTAACCTGCCTTGTTCGTCTGTTGGGAAGGTGAGAAGATATTTTCAAATTTTTATTATACAGTTTTGGCAATCTGGATCCGTAAACGGTTAAATTAGCCTTATTTGACAATTAAGCTAAATATTAACTAAGCATAATGTTTATGTTTAGATATGTGCTATTTATGATTGATACAACTCTATTAACATATAATTATAAATAATCTTTGAAGCTTCCTCACAGGCAGACGAGGCTGTAGGATATAGATAAGTTGAACTCAGTCGACTTATTTTAAAATGGTCAAACTATAGTAACTCTTCTGTATCCACTAAATTTTGAGACACCATGTATATTTCATCCTAGATATCCATCGTATCAAATCAAGTACCTGAAATTTATTAATCTGAGTATATCATTTACTTGAAGTGACATCCAATACATTGGTAACATGATATAAATTCCTCCATTCTGTAAATGAAGTACATAAATCTCATGATATGTGAGCATCATTTCCTTGGATGAATTTTATAAGCTCTTGATAGGAATACTTGATTTCCTTGAATCAAAGTAGTAATCCATAATATTAAAGAATCCTTCACTTGAATCTAGTACATAGTCTTGTTATACAAGAGCGATGCTTACTAAATTTAAATACATCGATCACTTGATGTGAGGACAGCAAATTCTTCTGATAAATGCCTAATTCCTTAAATTGAAGATCATTGGATCCTTGAATCTCAGGAAATAGAGATCTCCGTTTAAAGTATCATGTCATAGAAACATATCAAAGTCAGGACTTCCTCAATTCAAGGTAATTACTCTTCATTCAAGATCACTTTTTTTGTGTGTAAAAAATTAAAAATAAATAATAGTTTAAAAAACTAAAAAAAAAACACGCTTTTATGGATAACCGAACTAAAAAGTAGGAAATAATTTTTAATTACAAATAGTTTATTTTACAGTGGTAGATGGTCGAACAATCAATCATAATTATTAATGACCTCAAAATAAATTTAAGTTATTAACAGAATAATTTAATTCAGAGTAAAAAGATAGTTGCCAACAGAATGATTGTAACATTTAATATATCAAGCACCACACGCTTTATACTCTGAATTGAATTATTCTGTTAATATCTTAAATTTTGTTTTAATTTTATTTTGAGGACATTAATTATGATTGATTGTTCGACTATCTACTACTGTAATATAGACTCTTTGTAATTAAAAATTATTTTCTTCTTTTTTGTTCGGTTTATTATTTATTAGTATGTTCGTACCCAGGGCAGCA